GGTTTAGGGTTTAGGTTTTAGAAGTTTAGGGTCTGGGGTTAGGGGTTTAAGGTTTAGGGTGTGTTTACGTCGTAACAGGGAACCCCAGCCCTAAGCCCAATGGCTTGCGGTTTTTGTTTCAGGCTGTGAACCCTAAACCCTAAACCCTAAACCCTAAACCCTAAACCCTAAACCCTAAACCCTAAACCCTAAACCCTAAACCCTGTGGAGGGGGGGGTTGGGGTTGAGCTTGAGGGTGTGGCCCTAGCATGTTCCCCCGTATACTAACAGTAGTAACAGTCCTTAGCAGGGATTCTAGCAAGCCCTATTCCAAGCCTTACGAAGGACTGTGAGTATAAGGGGGAACATCCTTTATTTTTTAGCAGTTTTTGTTGATTTCTGGGTTCAGTTCCTTTTGAGGCAGGTTGGGCTTTGGGGGCTTAGGGGTTGCTGGGTGGAGCATTTGGGGCGATGTAGGACCTTTCGGCCGATGATGGCATCTATGATTGCCCTAAACCCCAAACCCTAAACCCTAAACCCTAAACCCTGAACCCTAAACCCTAAACCCTTAACCCTTAACCCTAAACCCTAACCCCTAACCCCTAAACCCTAAACCCTAAACCCTAAACCCTAGAGTACTTCTTCTGTGCTCTCAGCACCGGGAGACTAAGTCTCCCACCAGGGCCCGAAACCCCTCAACCCTCAAACCCTAAACCTTGGGATTCTGGGGATGTACCCTAAACCCTAAACCCTAAACCCTAAACCCTGAACCCTAAACCCCCCCCATATACTAACAGTCCTTGATTGGGATTAAGGGTTTAGGGTTTCGGGTTGAGGGTTAGTTTAGCATTTAGGGGTAGTATAATATGGGGTGGGGGCGGGGTGCTATAATCCCTGACTCTGAATGTGGATTTAGAGTTTTGGGTGGAGTTTAGGATTATAACACCCCAAGTCCAAAGCCCGCCGCAACCCTGTAAATCCTAATCGCCCCCCAAAACGCTTAACCCTACGCCCCTTAAAGCATATACAGCTCAGAACTTAAATCCGTAAAAAAAATAAGCCGCAGCCCTGAACCCCTTGAAAAACTCTAAACCCTAAACCCCAAACCCTATACCGTACACCCTAAACCCTAAGCCTAAACCCTAAACCCTAAACCCTAACCCTAAACCCTAAACCCTAACCCTAAACCCTAAACCCTAAACCCTAAACCCTAAACCCTAAACCCTAAACCCTAAACCCTCCCCGTAGCGAGTGAGGTGCTTTTGGTGGGGCCGTGTCCAGAGCTGTGGCAGGAGCCGATGTGTACGGCTTCTAGGGCTTGCAGGGTTTGGGGTTTAGGGTTTAGGGTTTAGGGTTTAGGGTTTAGGGTTTAGGGTTTAGGGTTTAGGGCTAGGACACAGAGTAGGCCCTTATTCCCGCGTTTTAGGGCTTAGGTTCCCTGTTTGCCCCCTTTAACCCAAGAGGGCACCCTTGTCATTCTGAGTTTACTCCTGCTTCGCTCAAGGACTACATCCCCCCCTCCCTTCCGTGCTCCCCCCCCTCCCCCCCTCCCCCCCTCCTCCCCGTCCCCTTCTCTATCCCCTCTCTCCCCCCCCCCCCCCGCCGGCAAAAAAATGCGCCCTAAAAAGTAGTTCTGTGTTCATGTTTGTGCTGATTGTGAATCACTGTTCCTGAAGCTAACCCTTGAAATTCAAACCTGGGAAGCCCTGAATATGGCTTCTGTGGCTTGAGTTTACAGTTTTGGGGTTTGGGGTTTCGGGGGGTTCTGGGTCTGGGGGTTGGGGGTTAGGTTGCTTTTCGGGTTTGGCAGAACCCTAAACCCTAAACCCTAAACCCTAAACCCTAAACCCTAAACCCTAAACCCTAAACCCTAAACCCTAAACCCTAAACCCTAAATTTGGCTTAGGTGTTTAAACCTGGACAGGAGGCACTGGCGACGGTGGAGGCGGGTCTCCCCGGGACTAAACCCTAAACCCTAAACCCTAAACCCTAAACCCTAAACCCTAAACCCTAAACCCTAAACCCTAAACCCTAAACCCTAAACCCTAAACCCTAAACCCTAAACCCTAAACCCTAAACCCTAAGCCCTACGCCCTACGCCCTACGCCCTAAGCCTAGAAGACATGCTTAGGTTTGAGTAAGTTGAGATGGCTATTCCTCCATGGGAGGGAACATGTCTTAGAGCCCCTGGAAGTGCTCGAGGATGGTACAGCTATGGCCCACGCAGGGCTTGTTGTACTTTCTGCCCTAAAACCCTGAGCCCTAAACCCTAAACCCCAAACCCTACACCCTAAACCCTAAACCCTAAACCCTAAACCCTAAACCCTACACCCTAAACCCTAAACCCTAAACCCTAAACCCTAAACCCCAAACCCTACACCCTAAACCCCAAATATGGGTTGCGGGCGGGACGGGCATGGTCACCAAGGATGCACTCAAACTGTGCTGTCCTCTGAGAACCAGGGTATGGCCACCCTAAACCCAAAAAAACCCAAAAAAAAACCAAAAACCCCTAAACCCTAAACCCTAAACCCTAGTAACCCTAAACCCTAGTAACCCTAAACCCTAAACCCTAAACCCTAAACCCTAAACCCTAAACCCTAAACCCTAAACCCTGCGCCCGGAGCTTGCCAAGGAGGTTTAGGGTCTAGGGTTCCGGGTAATGTGAGAAACAAGGATGACTTCTTCTTCCAACACCTGAGATAAGGACTCGGTATATGACCGTCATCGGGTCCGGGCTTTGGGGCCTTGGGCTAGCCACATCACAGAGCTTTTGGGCCTTCAAGCCCCTAAGCCCTAAACCCGAAACCTTCCATGGGAGGTAGGTACCTAGCAAACCTTAAGTGGGTTCCATACCCCTAAACCATAAAGCATAGTTACATCTTAACCCTTCCTTGAACCCCCCTCCCTTCAGCGCCCTCGTACAAACTGTAAGGCTCGTGCTCCAGGTGCGCTGCTTCTTCCCGCCGGTGGGTCAAGGGGACTTTGCGGTGCCGCCACCCTTTGCTTGGGCTCACTTGGTAGCCCAGTGAGGTTTGGGATTGGGTTTAGGGTTTAGGGTTTAGGGTTTAGGGTTTAGGGTTTAGGGTTTAGGGTTTAGGGTTTAGGGTTTAGGGTTTAGGGTTTAGGGTTTAGGGTTTAGGGTTTAGTAGCCACCCAAGAAAAGGTGCCCTTATTAGAATATCGTTACTGTGGTTTCAGGTTTCTGGTTTAGGGGTGCAGGAATTTGGGATATCGGTCCTTATGTAGTGCCACACCCAGGAAAGCAGGACCCCTCAGAAAGGGACCTAACTTAGAGAACTGCCCATGTAGGGATCAGGGCTTGGGGTTTCGGATTTAGGGTTTAGGGTTTAGGGCTTAGGTGTTCTTAAGGGAGGATGTTCAGGGAAAATAGCTACCCAGGGAACCTTAGGGAAGCTTAGGACGCCTTAGGGATTAGCAGGGAGTATTCGGGAACCTTGGGTTACGTACCCCCCTTGAACCTCCCTCCCTTAAGAACCCTATAAGCTTGACTTGGAGGTTCAGGGTACTTAGTAACCAGGGTTTAGGGTTTAGGGTTTAGGGCTAGGGTTTAGGGGTTGTAGGGTTATCTTGGAGGTTCAGGGTACTTAGTAACCCATGATAAGTGTAGTTATGACCACATGAAAGCCCTTAAGTGCCCTAATCGGGCTATAGTTGGGTTATAAGTACAGTTATAATTGGGTTACTAAGTACCTAACCCTTAACCCTAAACCCGAAACCCTAAACCCTAAACCCTAAACCCTAAACCCCAAACCCTAAACCCTAAACCCTAAACCTTAACTAAGTAGCCTGAACCTCCAAGTAGGGCAGGTGAAGGGATTTGGAGGCCTTATGAAGCCCTTCTTCAGAATCGCAGGCTCCTTCTAAGCCGTACTTGCAAGAAAGAAGGGTTTAGGGTTTAGGGTTTAGGGTTTCGGGTTTAGGGTTTAGGGTTTCGGGTTTCGGGTTTCGGGTTCAGGGTTTAGGGTTTAGGGTTTAGGTTTTTTGGTTTAGGGTTCAGGTGCCCGACGACTGGCATCGAAAGCAAACCGCCCTAAACCCTGAACCCCTAAACCCTAAACCCCTACTGACCCCAACCCTCAACAGGTCGGGTTTCAGCGGTGCCTAGGGAGAAGGTTTAGGCTACTCGGCTGGCCTCGCCAAATACCCCTTCACCGGTTTTAGGGTTTCGGGTTTAGGGCTTAGGGTTCAGGGTTTCGGGTTCAGGGCTTAGGGTTGAGGGGTCTACGCCAGTCCACTCAATTGCGCAACATTTGTTTCAACCTTCATGCCCAAGCCATAAATCCTGCGGAGATTGCACCCCGAACCCTAGAATTGGAACCTAAACCCGATCCCCTTTAAACCCAAAACCCTAAACCCTAAACCCTTGTAAACCCTAAACCCCAAACCCTAAACCCTAAACCCCAAACCCTGAACCCCAAACAGCAAACCCCATGCATGATGTCTCGAAACGGATCCGTTTCACAGGCATCCGCCGTAGGGGTTAAGAGGCAACATCCCTTGCAAGACTACATGCACAACCCGAAACCCCTAGAACCCCTAAACCCCGAACCCTAAACCCTCAACCCCTCTAACCCCTAAAACCCCTAAAACCCTCTAAAACCCCTAAACCCTAAACCCCAAGCCCTAAACCCTAAACCCTAAACCCTAAACACTAAACCCTAAACCCTAAACCCTAAACCGGCGTTGCAGCTTTCGAGTCTGAGAATGAGCATTCCTAAGCCCCGAAGGTTGAGGGTTTAGGGTTTAGGGTTTAGGGTTAGGGTTCTGGGTTCTGGGTTCTGGGTTCTGGGTTCTGGGTTCTGGGTTCTGGGTTCTGGGTTCTGGGTTCTGGGTTCTGGGTTCTGGGTTCTGGGTTCTTTAGGGTAAGGTCCGTGGTTCTCAGGGCTTGGTTGCATCTTCCAGCAACTTCCGATAGTGGAAGCCCTGAGAGCGCACTGGGTTGAGCATGAAAGGGAGTTGCGAGTTATGGGTTTAGGGTTTAACAGCTCCCCCGTGCTATGCAAATTTCGGTTGATGTGCATCTGCTCAGTGGCAGGAGGGTGTCCCTTGAGATTCAGGAAGATGCATCTGTGGAAGAGTTGAACCAACGTGCCCAGAGCGCTTTGGCTGTTGGCAAAGGGCGGCTGTTGAGTGCTGATGGCCACATACTGGATGCAGCACTGACGGTTAAGCAGGCGAGAATACAGAACTACGATGAGCTAAGCCTGCAAATACTACTACTGCCACAAGTTACTGCGACAAGGAAAGGGCTCGACCACATACAATCTGCCTTTGCGGCGATCCTCGGTGACGGATCTGTCGTTACCTGGGGCTATGCTGGTTATGGTGGTGACAGCAGTTCCGTGCAAGCTCAGCTGAAGGGCGTGCAGCACATACACGCTTCTTCGTTGGCTTTTGCTGCGATCCTCGGTGACGGATCTGTCGTTACCTGGGGCGACGCTGGCTATGGTGGTGACAGCAGTTCCGTGCAAGCTCAGCTGAAGGGCGTGCAGCACATACAAGCTTCTGCAGTGGCTTTTGCTGCGATCCTCGGTGACGGATCTGTCGTTACCTGGGGCGACGCCGATTGTGGCGGTGACAGCCGTTCCGTGCAAGCTCATCTGAAGGGCGTGCAGCACATACACGCTTCTTCGTTGGCTTTTGCTGCGATCCTCAGTGATGGATCTGTCGTTACCTGGGGCGACGCTGATTGCGGCGGTGACAGCAGTTCCGTGCAAGCTCAGCTGAAGGGCGTGCAGCACATACAAGCTTCTGCAGTGGCTTTTGCTGCGATCCTCGGTGACGGATCTGTCGTTACCTGGGGCGACGCTGGTTGTGGCGGTGACAGCAGTTCCGTGCAAGCTCAGCTGAAGGGCGTGCAGCACATACAAGCTTCTGCAGTGGCTTTTGCTGCGATCCTCAGTGACGGATCTGTCGTTACCTGGGGCGACGCTGATTGTGGTGGTGACAGCAGTTCCGTGCAAGCTCAGCTGAAGGGCGTGCAGCACATACAAGCTTCTGCAAGGGCTTTTGCTGCGATCCTCGGTGACGGATCTGTCGTTACCTGGGGCTATGCTGATTATGGCGGTGACAGCAGTTCCGTGCAAGCTCAGCTGAAGGGCGTGCAGCACATACAAGCTTCTGCAAGGGCTTTTGCTGCGATCCTCGGTGACGGATCTGTCGTTACCTGGGGCGACGCTGATTGTGGCGGTGACAGCAGTTCCGTGCAATCTCAGCTGAAGGGCGTGCAGCACATACAAGCTTCTGCAAGGGCTTTTGCTGCGATCCTCGGTGACGGATCTGTCGTTACCTGGGGCGACGCTGATTGCGGCGGTGACAGCAGTTCCGTGCAAGCTCAGCTGAAAGGCGTGCAGCACAAGGGCTTTTGCTGCGATCCTCGGTGACGGATCTGTCGTTACCTGGGGCGACGCTGATTGGGGCGGTGACAGCAGTTCCGTGCAAGCTCAGCTGAAGGGCGTGCAGCACATACAAGCTTCTGCAGTGGCTTTTGCTGCGATCCTCGGTGACGGATCTGTCGTTACCTGGGGCGACGCTGATTGCGGCGGTGACAGCAGTTCCGTGCAAGCTCAGCTGAAGGGCGTGCAGCACATACACGCTTCTTCGTTGGCTTTTGCTGCGATCCTCAGTGACGGATCTGTCGTTACCTGGGGCTATGCTGGTTATGGTGGTGACAGCAGTTCCGTGCAAGCTCAGCTGAAGGGCGTGCAGCACATACAAGCTTCTGCAAGGGCTTTTGCTGCGATCCTCGGTGACGGATCTGTCGTTACCTGGGGCTATGCTGATTATGGCGGTGACAGCAGTTCCGTGCAAGCTCAGCTGAAGGGCGTGCAGCACATACAAGCTTCTGCAAGGGCTTTTGCTGCGATCCTCGGTGACGGATCTGTCGTTACCTGGGGCGACGCTGATTGGGGCGGTGACAGCAGCTCCGTGCAAGCTCAGCTGAAGGGCATGCAGCACATACAAGCTTCTTGAAGTGCTTTTGCCGCGATCTTTGCTGACGGATCTGTGGCGACCTGGGGCAAAGCTGATTGGGGCGGTGACAGCAGTTCCGCGCAAGCTCAGCTAATGGGGTGCGCGAGAGATCGAGAACCGTGGCAGAGCTGCTTAAAATGGCGTTTCGCCCCTGAACCCTAAAGCCTATAGTCTCTAAACTTTAAACCCTAGATTATATCCCTAAACCCTAAAGCCTCAACCCTGAACCCTCAAACCCTGAACCCGAAGCTCCTCAGCCAACCCATGGATGTACAGCAGCTGCCTGCGTCGGTTGTCACCATGAGCCTCATGCCATCGCACGTGCGGACGTGTTAGGCGTTCAAGATTTAGGGTTTAGGGTTTAGGGTTTAAACCCTAGACTCTAAACCCCAACCTCTTAAAGGGTGCGGGGCGTTACCCGGCTGGGATCCCTGGGTTGGGGGGGGGGCGCTTGGAACTGGGATGTCCGGGTTTCGGAGATCAGGCATGTAAGGAGTTGGGGCGTTCAGGGGTTTAGGGTTTAGGGTTTAGGGTTCAGGGTTTAGGGTTTAGGGTTTCGGGTTCAGGGTTCAGGGTTCAGAGTTCAGGGTTGTAGGGACGTGTCTGGTCATGTCCTGTCCGGGAGCCCCCAAACCGTAAACCCTAAACCCTACATGGCCTTAATGGCCTTAATGGCATTAAAGCCTGCACAAGGATTTAGGGTTTAGGGCTTGGGGCTTAGGGTTCAGGGTTTAGGTTTCAGGGACCCTAAACCTCTCACGCAAAACTTACCAGCCATAAACCACACATCCCGGCATGTGTTCGCAACCCCACTGCCAAGCCTTAAACGCTATAACACCCTCAGCCCTAAGCCCGAAGCAGGGTTTAGGGTTTAGGGTTTGGGGTTTAGGGTTTGGGGTTTAGGGTTTAGGGTTTAGGGTCTGGGGTTTAGGGTTTAGAATTTGGGGGTTGAAGCTGTTGACCTCTTGGCGGAGGTGCTCGCCGAAGACGTGGCGCGGCACGTCTCCTCGCAGACTTGCGTAGTGACCGGCTGGCATTTTTGGGGTTCGCCAGGGTTTAGGGTTTAGGGTTTGGGGTTCAAGTTTAGGGGTTGCGGGTTTAGGGTTTATAGGGTTTATAGGGTTTATAGGGTTTATAGGGTTTATAGGGTTTATAGGGTTTATAGGGTTTATAGGGTTTATAGGGTTTATAGGTTTATCGGGTTTATAGGGTTTATAGGGTTTATAGGGTTTATAGGGTTTATAGGGTTTATAGGGTTTATAGGGTTTATAGGGTTTATAGGGTTTATAGGGTTTATAGGGTTTAGAGTTTTTCGAGATTTTAGGGTTTGTGGGTTAGAGGGTTTAGGAGTTAGAGTTCGTGGTTCCGGTTCGGGGTGTGAGAACTTTGTCAATGGCTGAGCTCGGGCTGTAGGTTCTTAGGGTTTAGGGTGTAGGGTTTAGGGTTTGAAGTTGAAGGTTTGGGGTGTTCGGGTTAAGGTTCTACCGGGCCCCTCCCTAGCCCCCGAAGCCGTTGAAAGCCTGTGCAACCTCCAAAACCCTAAACCCTAAACCCTAAACCCTAAACCCTAAACCCTAAACCCTAAACCCTAAACGTTTAGCAATCTTGAATCCTCAACCTCACAGCCTACAGAAGCTAAATAGCTAGCCTCCACAATGAACCCCTGGAGGCCCTGGGACCCTTCAAATCCCCGCATTCTTTGCTAGGGTTTAGGGTTTAGGGTTTAGGGTTTAGGGTTTAGGGTTTAGGGTTTAGGGTTTAGGGTTTAGGGTTTGGGGTTTAGGGTTTAGGGTTTGGGGGTCTGGCCGCTTCAGCTGCAGTAGTCTCCGGAACCCCAAGACCTTGCGTCCACGGGCAGTTCTCCACATGCTGTGCTTGTTTTGTGGGGTTCCTGTTATCTTACCTCTTTCGGAGCCTTATAAATGGGGTACCATCATATACTAGGACCCAGAGTAGGCCCTTCTTCCTTTTTCTTTGGTTCAGGCTCCCTTGGAAGCCCCTCTACGCCAAAAAGGGCACCCTGTTTATTCCTAGGTCACTCTCGGGGTCTCGTATACAGTACAGCAGCTGCCACGTTTCTGTAGGAAACTTGGGTTTAGTATTGGGTCCGTTCCCGAACCATCCCCGAACGAAAGCCCCTGACGCCCCCACGAGGTGCTAGTGCCGCTCTACAGCCTTACCACCGGCTTGCCGTGCTTTCCTCGGCGTTGATAATGGTTTTCTTCAAGGGTTTTTTGGTTTTAGGTGTTTTGAAAGGGTTTTTTCAGGGATTTCAAGGTTTTATTTAAGGCTCTTTAAGGGTTCTCAAGGGTTTTTAAGGGTGTTGAAAAGTGTGTTAAGAGTTTTTGAAGGATTTTACAGAGGTTTCAAGTGTTTTGAAGGGTTTTTGAGGGTTGTTCAAGGGTTTTCAAAGGTTATCAAAGGGTTTTTTGCGGGAGTTTCAGGGTTTTGAGTTTGAGGCGTTTATGCAAAGGGTTTTGAGGCGGAGGCGCGGAGGAGTCTGCTCGAAGGTAGTGGGCCGGCTGCAGCGCCAGCAGCAGAGCTCCCTGGACGTGCTGGTGCAGATGCTTGGGGAGATCAAGGGCCAGGGCCAGGCACAGCAGGCTGCTGGCGTGGAGAGCCGCTCCCTAAGGGTTCCTGAGCTTCTCTAAGAAAGGTTTAGGGTGTAGGGTGTAGGGTCTAGGGTTAGACCGTCAATGGCACGACTTCCCTGCTATTGGCAGCTTCACATGACGGGCCTAGGCCTTAGGGATTTGGGGTTACGAACCCACCCTTTAACCCCCCCTAAGCCCCTAAGCCCTCAAGAAACCCCCCTCACACCGCTTGAAAGCCCTTAATTCATGGCCTTAAAACCCCTCAAAGCCCCTACTTAGAGAAACTTGGGTTACCTACCCCGCTTGAACCCCTCCCCACCCCCTGAAGGACCCTATAAGCTCAAGAACCCAAGCTTGTCCTTATCAGGGAAATATCGGGTTTAGGGTTAAGGGTTTAGCGGGGATATTGTATCTTGCCTTTTGGGGGTTCTTACGCAAATAGTAGCCTTACGGGTTCGGGGGGGGTCAGAGGGGCTATAGGGTCTGTAGGAAGGAACATGCATCGAATTCTCGGGCAGGTTTATAGGTTTTAGAGGTTACGGGTTACAGGGAATAGGAGGCATTGGGTTATACAACAGGGTTTCTGCAAAGCGTAACTGCTTAGACACTGATTTTGGGAGGAAACATGTAGGGAATTTTGAGGGTTTGGGGTTCACCCTATAAACCCTAAACCACAAACCCCAAACCGTAATAACCCTTAACCCACAGAACTCCCCACATGTCCCTTCATGTAAGCGCTTCTTTGCCTCAATATCCCCTTACCCTCAAAGTCTGTGCATGCCCCTAAGCCCTATAAACCCCTAGCACTCAATTCTAATCCCAAGACCCAACACCTAACACCTTTTCAACTCTAATCTGAGCCCTAAGCCCTATAAATCCGCAAGTGCTATGCCTTATAGTTCTGACTTCTCCAGCAATTACCTTCGTCGTCTAGGACCGGGAGTAGGCCCTTTTTTCCTTTTTTTTTCGGGTTGGGGTCCATTATAATCCCCTTGAAACCAAAAAGGGCACCCTTTTATTCCTAGGTTACTCCCGGGTCTCGTCGTTTATGTAAATTTGACGTTTCCGGCAACTGAAAGTTTGCACGCTCAAGTCCTGAGGTATCGGGGCAGTATGCAAACACCCGAACGCCCAGACCCGGCAATCCCTGAATTCCCCTAAACCCTAAACCCTAAACCCTAAACCCTAAACCCTAAACCCTAAACCCTAAACCCTAAACCCTAAGCCGGGGGGAGGCTCGCGCAAGCTCAGCTGCGTCAGCTGGGGCACTTTGTGGACTACGAGGCGGACGTCGCTTCTGTGTTTAGGGTTTAGGGTTTAGGGTTTGGGCATTGGGGTTTAGGGGTTGGGGATTGGGGTTTAGGGCTTGGAGATTGGGGTTTAGGGTTTGGGGATCGGGGTTTAGGGTTTAGGGTTTAGGGATTGGGGTGTAGGGTTTAGGGTTTAGGGTTTAGGGTTTAGAGTTTAGGGATTGAGGGTTAGGGATTGGGGTTTAGCGTTTAGGGTTTAGGGTTTAGATTTAAGTAGGGTCTAGGGTTTTTGGATTGGGGTGTAGGGTTTAGGGACTGAGGTGTATGGTTTGCGGTCTGGGGTATAGGGTTAGGTATTGGGGTTTAGGGTTTAGGGTTTAGGGTTAGGGTTTCGAGTTTAGGGTTTAGGGTTTAGGGTGTGTTTAGGGAGTAGGGATTGGGGTTTAGGGTTCTGGGGAGCTAGCAACAGGGAACGAGGGCACTAGCTACCCTATGGACGCCTTTGGGTACATAAATCCCTGTCAGGAACTTAGAGAGTTTTTGCAACGAGCAACCTCCACAAGCGAA